CTCTTTGATTCCTTGGATGCTACTGAAGCCCTGAGGCTGGAGGTGAGTGGGGTTGAACAGGTGAAGTTCTCATAGCGTTAGCTATCTGTTGCCAATGCAAGGACCTGGGAGAGAATATTGACTACTGGGTAGATGGAATGCATGATCTGGTAGAATATCTGGTAGCCCAAGTCCTGGTCATCAGAGGCACTGATGGGCAGGGGTCAAAGCACTCAACCTGTGGAACCAGACACAGTCATCAGCCACATTGTTTTGATGAACTCTAGGATCTCCTGGACTATCTGCAGGAATAATCTGGAAAGTGACTGTGGCTCAGATCACGTGGGAGGGGGATGCGATTCACCTTGTCCTCTGAATTAAACATAGTGAGTGTCATGGTGGTATAGGGACCAAAGACAGGATGCTCCAGGATGTTCCACTGTGACATGCAGACAATTTTTAGCTAAAAACCATCAGAAAGAAACCAGACCTCCTACCCTCCAACTACAAAAAATAACTTAGAGGAACTACTCCAGAAGGAAAGCTATCACCTTACATAGCTGTTTTATAACATAAAGTAGGTGTGGTAGACAGGGAGGGATGTGGCTAAGTCTGTTAAAATTCCTCTGTGGCCCCCACCTTGTTTCTTTGTGACCCATCAAACATTTGTTTATCAAACATTTACTCTTTTCATACTTCTGTGAATTACTTCCTTTTTCTTTGAAGTCTCAGACCCCTACCCTCTTCTCCTCAGTTCAGGATGAATGAATACCTCATTCTTTCAGACTATCTTTGGAACCCCAGACTGTCTAGATTAGTTAGCATCCTAACAGAAGTCTCTGGCTTCCCCATAAGTACATAATTAAACTGTTTTTTCCTCCTGTTAATGTGTCTCATGTCAATTTGATTCTTAGACTATCTAGAAGAACCTTGAGGGGTAAAGGAAATTACGTTTTTCCCTAAAGTGGTCCTTATCAGCTTACATATTTAGAAGAGCTCACTAATAAAGGCTGGAGTTTTATTTTTTTGTGAGGATTTTAAGTTACAGATTCAGTTTCTTCAATACATAGAACTGTTCACACAATTTTTTATTATATAACTTTGGATAAATTGTCATTCTTAAGAAAATTTTTTTTTGTCATTTATTTCACCTTCTTCTGTGTTAATTGCATGGTATTCTCAGTCCAGGCTTCCAGAATTCCAACCCCCACTCATAGACCAATGAAGAGCAAATTTGTTATTGATATAAATTCTTTTGAAACTGTTAGGTAAGTTTACTAACTATGAATGATTGATATATTTTCATAATTACCGATATCCTTCTCATAACTCATCAACCATAACCAATAATTAAGCAGACTATTTGTCTGTATTTTGCTTTTTAAATACATTTTTCTATGTGTTTTGTTTCTAAAAGTGATGCTAGTTGAAGTCTCTGAAGTAACTGAAGTGAAAGAAGTAGTAGAAAGTTTGAAAGGATTGAAGAATTTTTGAACATTACTCCATCCACTGCAATATAGTCACCATTTGGGCATCTAAACATCTCCTCAGTAAGTCATAAACATGGCATATTCTGGAATGTGCTTCATAACAAAAATTAAAATGAGTTTTTCCATGTCTTCATAATGTCAAAGCATCTTTATGTAATGTGAAAAATACAGTAACCATCTGGATTTTGTTAATGTACACCTAAAAATTCTAGTTTTTTACTGTTACAGCTAGTTTTTTACTGTTCACATGGCTATATGCTTTTAAGTAATTCTGAAGACATGTCAATACAGGTACTGAGATGTTAGCAAATATATCTGAATTTTGGGAAATATGGAATTTGTTACAATATAGTTAATCAATGCTTATATAAAATACACAAACTGTTCAATTCTTTTAAAAAGTTATTGGAAACCATGAATTTTTGAAATGGCAGCACTAGACTAAATAAACATTTGGGAATTTGGGCTTTTATTTCTTTATTATGTCTTAGATTGCTTTTACCTATTACTCATACTTACAATTATATCAAGATCTTACTTATTTGAAACTAGCCTTAGAAATACTATGTCTTCTTGTCTAATCAACCAAAGAGTTATTTATTTTTATCAAGTATAAAGAAATAAGGTTTTTACTTTACATAATTCTATAAAGTGATGGAGAAATCAGGCAAATAAAAATTGATTTTGTTTGCTGGTTGATCGGTATTTTCTTTCCAAGTTTGTTTTGGGTATACTTGGAAGGGTGTAGGAAGTTACTGGAGGAGTTAGTGAGGGATCAAATGGAGGGCATGCATGCTCAGATGAGGATGGTCTTCCCTAAGTATAAGGTGAGCATTCTGAGATGTATATGACATCTTGATGAGTGTCACCAGGGTTTCGTACAGCAGATATAAAGTGCTCTCTCTGAAGCTCAGCAGAAGGCTACCCCACTTGTGTATTTTGATGCTTTCCCCCTCTCTCTTCCTGGGTGGGTTCCTGTTGATTCTAAATTGCCACGACACATGCTTTTCTTACTGTCAAATAGCCATTTGATGGCCTCTCTAGATCCCAGCCCCTCATTATCCCTAACTTTAAACTTGTAAACCTTCTTATGCCAGTGTGATTGTGAATTTGTGCCTAAAACTCAAGAAAATAGATCTGTAAGCACTGCAAATACATGACCGCTTTCCCTGTTGGTATTTCCTTAGTGGTCTGATGGCGAAGGCCTCTGTTTAAATATGCTCTAGTATTGAGACTTCATCACTCAGGCAATCACTCCTTTGGGTCCTCAGTATTAAATCCATGTACTTCTGATTGGTTAGGGTCAGACCTTTCATAGCACTGGCCACTTTGTTGTCTAGGGACAAATCAGTTGAAATGAGCTTCAGTATTAGTGGGGAAGAAAAACAACTGCCAAGGTTAGAAAAGGTATCAGGATAATGGAAGGAGGAGCCCAACACAAAGAGTGAATGTTTGGGATTTAGGAAGACGGCTTCCTCTAGCTTCTTCACAGATTTGCCAATCATTGGTTCCGTAAAAATACATTCATTTTGCAAGTGGGATCAACTGGGAAACAATTTTGGGTAGAGTGAAAGGTTGTATTATTAATTTTATTAATATTATATTATTAATATATTATAACATACAGTATAAGTAATATACCAGTATTATACATTTTTAATTATTAAGAAAATATTATACAATACTACTAATTTTTGTGTGAGTTATTTAAATATAGAAAAGAGTTACATCTGCTTTCTGCTGCTGTATTGGGAAGGGTTTTCAGTTAAATATCTCTTCTATGTGTCTAAAACATTTTTCTAGATGCAAAAGATGTATACAGACTGAGATTAAACAATGGGAAAGAAAGAGACGAGGCACAGCTTATATCTGGCAAACCCTTTGCATTTTCATTTAAGCTGTTACAGGAGTTTCAGAATTCCTGTGGATCTAATACTAGTACCATGGAATTTTTTAGCTGATAAAGACAATCTAATTCACACTCCTCATTTCCCAGGCAAAGAGCAAACATCTCCTAAATCCCAGTTCAAAGGTGGTTATGCAGCCATCATCTCCTTCCATATTCATTTTTATTTATCATTGTGGCAGGAATGGAACTGATATCTGTAAATGTTAGGATTAGTTAGCATCCTAATAGAAGTAATTTCTGAAAAGTAACTTTGGATGAAAAATCATTTTAATAGTAATATGTGATTTGTTAAAAAATGAGTAACTGTGTTGCTTAATTAATTTCATGTCATGTGAACATATTGAAATAACATCAGTATTAAAGTTACAAATTATTATGAAATCTAGTCAAAAGTGTCCCTTGGCTAGGTAGTTATCATAAATAACATACACCACTTGAAATTTCCATTTTAAAAAAGCATAAACCTCAGCCTTCCAGTGAGAAATACCAAAAAAACAGTCAACCTTCAATTAGAGTTTGACTTATTTGCAAATTAAAGCATGAAACTTAACTGAAAGTCATTCTTTTAAATTCACAGTGTTCTTAATTTTATGATGCTTTCAGTATTGACTGTCCTGCAGTTCTGGGATCCTTCTACACATTGGATGAATTACATTGAACAAAGAGCTGAGTCCTTGAAATGCACGTTGTTGCATTTCACCAAATGAAGTAGATAAAGAAAATTAATTTAAATTTTTCTGGTTTAACAGATAATATTTTAGTTCTATACAATAGGGAACTAAAAGCCACATAGTCACTTGGAATTTAGAAGTTATATGAAGTAAAAATTATCAGGGGGAAATAATATCATATATTATTTAGACTTAGAAGTTTGAAATCGTACATCTATAAAATTTTAGACCTGTAACATTTAACTAATTATAAAAAATTTTACTTCATTGGTTAGAGATACTTTATCTTGAGCCATTTTCTCTCCCTTTCCAATTTCAGAAAGTTGAATACTGTGGGATGCTATGGGAAAAATAAAGTAAATGGAATGAAATAACTATTTAAAAAATACCTGACCACATTGTTCTTTCAGGTTAGCTGTCTTTTGATCATCATTTCTGATTCCCTTCTAAAATTGTGGAAACATGTTTTAAGAACCACAGTTTTGAATCACTTGATCCTACTTTACCTTTTCTTCAAACTGATTGCATTTCTATAATATTATTTGGTCATCTTGGCTGAAACTTTTCCCCTCTTTTGAACAACATATTATGCTGATACATGGATATATATTTTATTATCTGTCATTATTTTGAGTCATAAAAAATTGTCACTTGGAATGGCCAAACCATTAAAATGTTGGCAACTTCATATAATTCAAATAAATATATTCTAAACAATTTGAGCATGCTTTCAAATGTGTGACTCATTTAACTCCCTCATGTACTCATTATATACTAAATTTTATTGTATGTAATTAAATACATACAGTTTTCCCATCTAGCTTGTAAACTCTTGAGCAAAAGGACTGTCATTCGTTTTTTTCTTAAAGAGCACAAAAAATTTTTGTTGAAGCAATGAATGAGCAAATGAAGGTAGCAGTAGGGAAGGGGTAAACACAGTTATTATATTACCAAATCCAGTTGTAACAGGTCTAAGCTTGAGATTCTTCTATAAAACCTAGTTAGAAAAGAGAAAAGCAATATAGAATTTCTTCAACATGTAAGTATTTTTTAATCCAGAAGCATATTCATTCATTCATTAGTTCAACAGTATAGGAATTTGCACCTATTATGTTCTGGACATCATATTATAGGCATCAAAGACCAAAATAATAACATCAAATATTCATGGAGCTCTTACATACTAGGCACTGTTCTAAATGTTTTACACATTTTAACTCACAAGAAACTTACAAAATATTATCTACAGTTAATAAATGGTGAAAATAAGACACAGAGAAGTTAGCTTGTTCAAGGCCACACAGTTTGTAAGTGGTAGAGGTGGGCTTCAAACAATGCAGTCTAGTTCCAAAATCTGTTAAATAAATGAGAATTTCTGTGGAGAAGTGAGATTCCTTTAGAGATGGTGAGTTAAAATATTTAATAGATAGATGAAAAAGAAGTACTGTGGAAAGTCTCAGAATGCAGCCTTACCTTACCTAATGTAATTAGGACAGGTTTATGAGTAACATGTGAGCAGTGCTTAAAAGATACTAGCTGTAAGAGTATTCCTGTTGTAGAAAACAGCATTTGCTAAAGTGCTGAGTCTTGAACTAGTTCAGCTCCACTACTGGGGTTAGTAGAATATAGGAGAGATGAGAAAACTGGAAAGTGCCTCTGGGATGGAACTGTGAAGGACTTTGTATCTCAGTCTTGGGAGGTGGCATGTAATCCTATGGGGGATGGGCAGGCAGCAAGCTTTGCTTTTTCTTCTTCTTTCTCTGTTTGAATCTACCTTTTAAGTGTGTTGATTCATTAATTTTTTTTTGGTATAGTTGCTCCCAAATTATATCTCAGCTAGGTTTAGTGAAATACCAGTCATTAAAACAATGTTTCAGAAATTAAAACAATGTAATGAAGTATTAAATCAAGCCTCTGCAAAGTCAACTATAGAGAGTGACCATCTAACTGTTAAAATAAAAATAAACATTTTCAGAGGAAAATAACAGAATGCAGTTTTGTACAGCTTTCACCACCATGTCTAACATGTAATAAAAAGTACTAGACTTCAAAGAAGCAAGAAATGTGATTCATTGTCAGGAAGTTTTTTTAAAGCATCCCATAGAAAACCCTTGATATGGCTAAGGTATTGGAAATAGTAGACAAGGGCTTTAAAGGAACTATATTAAATAATGTTCTATGGACTCAAGAGCAGATTGGAGACAACAAAAGAAAGTGTCAGTGAACTTGAACATAAATCAATTGAATTATCCAATCTGAAGATACAGGAAAACAGTGTAAAAAAAATGAACAGAGTCTCACTGACCTGTAATAAATATGAACTGGTCAACATACATGCAAAAAAGAGAAAGAGAAAAGGGCAGAAAATATTTGGAGAAATTTTTCACCAATTGGATGACTAGTAAGGAGCTCAGTTAACTCCATAGGGTAAGTAGAAAGAAAGTGCACAGGGACACCATAATCAAACTACAAATGAATAGCAAAGACAAAGAGAGCGTCTTAAGTGGCAAGATGGGAGAAAAAAGATATTACATTCAGGGAAGCAGCAGTATGAATTGAATGGATTAAGTTCTCATTAGAAAAAAATGAAGAAAATGGAATGACATCTTTAATGTGCTGAAATAAATCAAAATTCTATGTCCAGCAAAGAAATAGTTTAACAGTAAGTATAAAAAGATGTTCTAAAGATAAGCCCAAACTGAGATAGTTCATTCCAGAGATCTGTACTGCCAGGAATGCTGAAGAGTTGAGGTCACACACGGTGACCAGGCACACTATTCTTGCCCCCTGTGTCTTTCTGCAATTGCATATCACAGAACCTATGTAAGGTAGGTGCTCAAGAAATAAATTTTCAGACTCCATGTCTGTAATTAATTAACAACAAAAAAAAATAATCCTGGGCCAGTTATCTGAACTATCATTATATCATTCTCCAACTTTTACAATTTTTGTTTTCCTAGTGTGGTTCTGTTTTTCCTGCTATTTGATGAATTTGACTTAGATGAGCTCTCCAAAAATTGTATTAAATTTAGGTCAATAATTAAGAGGGAATGAAATTTGAAGCATCTAAACAAATTCTGAATAATGAACAATTTCCCTTGAAAGATTTATGGTTTCGTTTTACTACTGCCTGAAGCACCCAAGTAATTGCCATTTGTTTAGAGATGTTATACATTATCATTGTGTAACATATTTAAATATCCCTACCTTTATTTTCTAGACACATTCCAATTTAAAAAGTATTAACATGCATTATGCTAGGATATGCTTTAAACTATGACCTACAAGAAAGAATTATGGGAAATACTTTGCACCTGCGTGCATTTCTGCCAGGACAAAAATTTATTACGGCCTTTTATTCTTTATTTTCATTATCTTAATTTCCAAACCTAGATTACAAACTCCTCATAAAAAGAACAGAATTTGATTCTTCTTGGATGTCTCTGGTGCAGTGCTTTCTATCTAGGTACCTTTCTACCTGCTTAGCTAATGGGGAATGAAAGAAAAAAGTGAATTTTGCAAAAAATGGAATCATTAGTTGGGTATACAATGGTCTCAATTCTAGTTATTCCAAAGTTAGATATTAAAGAAGTTGGGTTGTTTGCCATACAATCTAATTATTTATATGTTGTTGACCTCATCATAGCCCAATGCCATACATATTCCCTCTCTCTCTGGGCTTTTATCCTATTCTCTCTTCTGCTCCCTGCATACCACTGAAACCCCACTTGTTACAGTCTCCGTGATTTCCTTCTTCCTGAAGGCAATGGTTTTTTTCTATCCTCATCATATCCCAATTCTTAGACCAATAACACTCAACCTGACATCAAAACCCCTTTTTCTCCAGGTTTCCATGGTATCACATTTCCTTATCTTCCTCCCAGTTCATCAGCTTCTGTGTATGTAACTTTACTATATATCATTTTGTCATTTGTTGAAATGGCTTATTATTTCTGAAATACATCGGTGATACGATAACGATATATTTCCTGGTATTAATATATCCTTGAATTCCTATGAATAACTCTATGTGGTTGTAAAAGGGTTAATTCGTTTATTGTGATTTTTAATCAATTTCAAAGTTTTTTATTATACATATTCATAAACAGGTTTGCATAAAGTGAGAAAGAAATCTTTACTATGTTTTGATCTCAGAAGTATGTTAACTTTGAAAATAATAGAAAAAACTTTCCATTTTTCTAAGCTGTGGTAGTTTACATTACATCAGTTATATCTGCAAATAAAGCCATTAAGTGAAGAATTATTTAATAAATTTAATAGTGGTTTTCATTTTCTCCATGGGTTTTAATTTACTCAGAATTTTTTTATTTCTGTAGTTAGAATTAGAAATTTTTCAGAAAATTACTTAATTCAATAATATTTTCAAAGTAGTAAGTCTTTGAAAAGTAGACTAAAACTAATTCATATTTGCTAATGTATTTCCTGTTTTGTTTTATGTCTAAAATTATTTTTTTCCTTATAGCATTTGTGAGGGAGTTTATACTCTATTTTACACTCCTCTTCCCCATGTCCACCCTCCACACACATGCAAAAACAAAAGCAGGTATATCAGAAATCACAGTTTTTGAATTTGTTTATGAATTATGTTTCCTAAAACTTTACAAATGTTCAATCTTCTACTTAGATCCCATTTTCTTCCATTCTCATACTTTGTGCAAACTACTTTCAGTCCTTCTGTATTCCTTATTTAAATGACTTATTAATTTCTTCTTTCTTTTTAACATAATGCCATTTTTTATGTTTTTAACATAAAGCATGCTATTTTACCTCTGAATATACACTTGGCAATGTCCTACAAGGTCTCATTGTTCTTCTTCATATCTAAGAATTTTGTTAATGCAGATTTTATTTTCTATTTGAACATATCATTGCTTTAGGAATTTTTATATTAATATTTTAAATTCTGTGTAGAGCTCTGTCCTTCTAAGAGACAATATTTCCTACAAATGTCTGAAATTTGCCACTCGGAGCTCCTCATCCTTCTCTGACACTGAGCCCAGACGTTTCTCCTGCAGATTCACAAGTCTCATATGCTTTTGTTATACATACATATAGCTTACAGAATTTCCATGCTTCCTAGTTTTGCAGAAGGTAGTTTGCGAATTTCCCGTTGTCCTCCTCCATTCTCCCTGCAGCTTTGTTTGGTTTCTAGGAGACTAATGGGAAGGTAAGTAACTAAGCCATTGATCCAACTTTTGGAGACTGAATTTGTAAAATATTTATAGTGACTTAAATCTGCCATGGCAGAAAGGATTTTTTCTCTCTTCTAAAGTCTCTGCTCATTGAATATTTGAATATACTTTTTATAGCATCTCATCACTATTAAAGTTAAGTTAAATTAAACTTTTTCATAATGTAATCTAACTTAAAGTTAATTAATATTCAGGCATCCTGTGCCTATTCAAAGTGTGTGATTAACATTTTTAAAAGCTAAATTGAGTTTATACCTAGGGAATTGTATCATGAGTGGTAGCTGAGTTAGTTACATGGTGTTTTGTAAGATAATGCTAAAAAGAGAATGAGTACAAAGAAAAACAGTGAGCGATTTGAATGTCTTCAATATTTAGAAAAACCAAGTAAACCCAGTCTGTTTTCTTATCATGGACTTATTAATTATTCATATGACCTAGTGAACTTTTCTTATAAGTTTGATCTGATTAATTTATATGTATGATACCAAACCTATTTGTGTTTTGAACTCCTCTAGCGTTTAAATGTAAAATGGAATAAAACAAAATTGAGGAAGGAAATTAATATCTGTTGATGTAAGTTTTGAAATATCTCTGCATAAGAAGAATACTACCAAGTTTTTAATTTTCATTGTTTTGGTAATAGGCTCTAAATAAATGATCAATACATGATCCATTCTTATTAACCTACATACAAGCCTTCTACATGTAAGCATATTATTTATCACAGTTGCATAGCTTCTCCAGCTAACAAAATTGTAAAATTTCTAGTGGTACATTTATATTA